CGATAGCGTCTCATACGCCGAAGGGTCGGCGGATTTGTGCTCTCTTGGGCCATCTTGGGGTCATCTTGTGACCTCGAAGGCCCATCAGAAGCGAAACGGCGAGGAGGGAAACCATAGTGTTTGTTTCTTCGGTGTTGGAAGGGTGTTGGTCTTTTGGGAGGGCCCTTGGAGGGTTCCGAAAGCACATCCAACTGCCTTGGGGGCGTCTTGGAGCCTCTTTTGAGGCATGTCGGAGGCTATCTTGAGCAATATTCGATTATTTATCTTGAGCCATCTTGGAGGCCATCTTGGCCTATCTTGGGCCCTCTTGGGGTCATCTTGGGCCGTCTTAGGCGCTCTAACCCCTCGCGTCCCCTACTGTCCAGAAACAGGGAGGGGGTGAGGTAAACCTGCCCGAATAGCGGAAGGGAGGAATGGGAAATGGAGGCGCCCTAGACCATCTGCGCCCAGAGGATTGGCAGGATGATTCCTCCAAGTCGCACCCCATGAAGCCCAGTCAAGAGCGTCTACCTGGGCATGCGGTCTGTCCAAGCGACGGAGCCATGAAGCAATCGATCGCCGAGTTTCCGCGCCAACCCGCTTTGCCGAATCACAACGGTTTCTACTTGAGGCAGCCCGGTCCCGCATGCTGCACGTGCCACGCGCAGAGCCCACAACCGAAACATTCGAGATGGCCGTGGGCGGGGTGGCGGTTGAATCCGCAGTGTCAGAAGCTCGCCATTGCCTCCCACGCAGGCCAAGGAATCCGTGACACGGCATGCGTTCGGATCGACCCCGTAGTTTTTTGGTGATTGCGATCACCGAGCCTACGGCGCAGGCGCCAGTGCCCCGCCGCAGTCCCGAGCTGATGCGGCGCGTAGGCTTGGTATCGCTCGGACGTGTGCACTTTCTCTCGGCGGGGATTATGAAGGAGCATCCTGGATCATCCTGCGAAAAACCACGCACGAAACCGAAAAAAGCACAGGGAATGGACGTCCGAGCGATGGCCAGTAGGGGGAGCAGCGAATTCTGCAACGCCGCCCCCCGCGCGCTGGTAAGCGTGTCTGCCGCCCTGGGCATGCACCTCCCAGCAGGACCGCCGCGGTCTTGTCGCGGCCACCGCAGCGAACTGACCAGGCCCATGCGCGAGGGAGCGCGGCTACCAGCAACGCCCCGCGAAGCAGGCGGCGAGCATGGCGCCAGCGCTGGCGGCCTCTGCACCGTCGCTGCTGCGCGGCCACTTGGGGCATCCTGGGCGCTTCTGGCTGGGGGGCCTATTGAGAACATGTGTGGGTGAGGTCTTGGAGCCAATAGCGCCCTCTGCGACTTCCGCCTCCTCGCTCTTGTCTTCATCGCTATACTCGGCGTTTTGATCGTCGTCTTCCTCTTGCTGATCGTCATTATCATCACCGCCTTTCCACTACTGCCCCTCCAGCTCCCCGTCATGTTTCTTATCCCCCCTCTACTACTACTCGTCTGTCCACACTTTGAATTGACATGAGTGAAGGGCGTCTCGATTCAAAACTAGGGCTACCTTCTTGGCTTCGTGGGCAGATCCCATAAGAGCTTCACCAATGGAGTTCGATACCCTTTTCCAGCATGTGGGTACCCCAGTGACGATGGCGGAAATCGTGCTCCCGTTTGGGTGTCCTTTGCCTGCGATGACCTCAGACACGTGACATCCTTAATAGGTGGTACATTGAATCAGGGATAGAGGTCCATGCTCAGCATCGTGCTCTCGAGTCGGCAACGACTTGGGACTGTAGGAAGTCGTGCGCTGGGATAATCGTCGGTCATCCCCTTCCTCCCCTCCTGTCTCCTTCCCGTCCTTGCCTCCGTCCTTCCCTCCTGCTTAGCGCCCTCACTGGTGATCAGGGGCTGTGTGCCCTCGGGGGCACGGTCGTGGCATGCCCCCCATGCGGCCTTCTCTGGATACTGCTGCTGATGCTGATGATGATAATGATGATGATGTTGATGGTGGTGATGGTGGTGGTGGTGGCGATGGTGATGGTGATGGTGATGGTGTTGATGATGATGATGCTGATGCTGATGCTGGTGCTCATGCTCATGCAGACGATGCAGATGATGACGACGATGCTGATCCTGATGATGATGGTGATGGTGTTGATGCTGATGCTGATGCGGACGATGCTGATGATGATGACACTGCTGATGCTGATTCTGATGATGATGCTGATGATGCTGATGATGATGATGATGATGATGATGATGATGATGATGATGATGATGATGATGATTATGACGATGCTGATGCTGACGCTGATGCTGACGACGATGATGATGATTGCATTGAACGCCCCTGAGGGGGCAGACACCGCCGCCCCACCATTTTTGGAACACGGAGTTTGAGGGACAGCCCGAGAGGGTCCAAGAAGACGTGGAAAACGTCCCAAGAAAGGCCCCCCAGAGGGGCCCAAGAGGCTCCGAAAACGGCCCAACAGGGCACCTAAAGGTGTCGAAAACAACGGACGAAACCGAAGACGGGTACGGAGAGGCAGAAATGAGCAGTCTCACTTAGTTCAGGGGCCTCAGAAGCGCCTCTGGGGACTCCCTGGGCGCGCCCAAGACGGCCCAAGAAGGCGCCCAAAGGGCGGCCAGACGACCCAAGATTGGCCTGGGAGGCTTTCAAGACGGTCGTCGAGAGCATGCCCGGGTTCTAAGATGGCCGCAAGAGCCAGAGGAGATGCACGGAGGTCCCGAGAGAGGCCTAAGGAAAAGTGCGAGAAGGCCAGAATCAAACTCTCATTTTTTTGTTTGCTTTTTGGGGTGTTCTGGTGTATGTGGCTCGAAAAGATATGGAAAGGCATCTGAAACAGATCAAGGTGGCCTGAAGAAGGGTGAAAATGAGCCCAGGAGAGCCTCAGGAGGCCCGAAAAGCCGGCCCAGTGGGCTCCTGGAGATGTCTCTGAGAGCGCCTGGCGGCGCCTGGAAGGCTAGCACGTGAAAGGGGGGTCGTCTTGGGACGGAAATGGCGGCCAGAAGGCGCCCCGAACGCAGCGAGGGCCCCCGGGCCCGGCGGAATGAGCCAGGCGCGGGGAGGACCCTAGAGGGGTTGCGAGGACTCAGAGGCAGGGGTAGGTATGAAAAGCGCGCTGGAGAGAAGACTTTCACAAAGCATTATTGAAGACCATGCTGTGGATCTCAGACGCCGTACCCGGTGGGGCGGCGGATCGCTTCGCTCATTCCGCCGGCCCGTATTGCCTCGCCGCTGTCGTTTGTCGGGGTGTTGTTGTCAATGCGGTGTCGTTGGGCGGCTGCCATTTTTCGGATGTGGTGGGTGGTGGGTCAGAGGCCTCATAGATGTTGGTTGAGCTCTCGTGGTTGGCCTCTCGGGGGCCTCCGGGAAGCAGTTTGGAGGCCTCCTGGAGGCAGTGTTGGGGCCTCTTGGGCCTTTTGGGGCTTCTTGGGGTGCCTCTTAGGGGCCTCTTAGAGGGCCCCTTGTGGCCTCGGGGGGCCTCCTGGGGGCCTCTTGGGGCTGAAGGCTGGACTCTTCGGATCCTGGTCCCATTATTGGGCCTCTGTTGAGGCCGTTTTGGGGCCCTCTTGGGTCGTGCCCTCTTGAAAATCTTGGGCACGTTGGGCCGTCAGGGGACGATGTTGGAGGCCTCTGGGGCAGTTCTGGACGCTGTGAACCACCAAACGTCGCACATGCGACACATGTACGTTTTCCTATGGGAATGGGCCGATTTTTGCTTTTTGGGTTCCTCGTGGAGAGCCTTTTAAAAAACTGTTTCACAGCCTCAGAGGCCATCTGGAGACCATCTTGAGCGTCTTGGAGCGATATTTCGGCGACTCGGGGCCTCTTTGGGCCGTCTAGGGGGCGTCCCGGCGCCCTCTTGACGCGCTCCTGGAGCGCTCTGGGGGAGTCGGCCGGGCATCGCCCGGGCATCGCCTCGGGTACTTTTCGTCGGGGGATCCCCAGGGGCCGCCACGCTCGCGCGAACTAGAAATATTGTTAACCTATCACGGGAGATCTTAGCACGCCGTTGGCCCCTTGAACCGACGAATGATGGTGTTGATGCTGATAATGGGGACGATGCCGCTGATGAGGATGAGCAGCATGGTGATGCTGGTGCTGTCTGCTGCTGCTGCTGATGATGATGATGAGGATGCTGATGCTGATGATCATGATCATGACCACGGTCATGATCATGATCATAATCATGACGATGATGATGAGTATGGTGATGATAGTGATGGTGATGATGATGATGGTGATGGTGATGGTGATGGTGATTATGATGATGATGGTAGTGGTGGTGATGATGGTGATGTTGGTAGTTCATATGCTGATACTGATGGTTGTTGTGATGACGACTGTGATGGTGATGATGATGCTGATGATGATAAAAATGATGATGGTGATGATGATGATTATGCTGATGACGATGGCGATGCTGCTGGTGATTATGATGGTGATGGTGCTGGTGATGGTGATGATGCTGGTGATGGTGATGATGGTGATAATGTTGATGATGCTCGTGATGATGGTGATGGTGATGGTGATGGTGATGGTGATGGTGATGGTGATGGTGATGATGAGAAGGAGGGGGGAATGGGAAGGAGGGATGAGGAGCAGTAGGGCATGATGCGGACGAGGAAGAGGTAGGAGGTCGTGAGGAGGAAGAGGTTCGGAAAAGGTTGAGGACGAGGAGGAAGAGGACGAGGGCGAGGAAGAGCAGGAGGACGAGAAGGTGCCGCAGGAGCACGGGGAGCATCAGCAGGAGCAAGAGGACGAGGAGCCAGAGAAGAAAATTGGGCGGGGGGGATGCAGATAATCAGGTAGGAGATGGGAGAGTAGGAGGATTATGGGTTTGCCTGGAGGCCAGTGCGAGGAGGGTGAGGAGCAGCAGCTTGATGAGAGGATTCGGAAGATGAGCAGCAGCATGAGGGCGAGGCTGATAAGAAGGATGAGGAAGGGGGAGGGGCGGCGGCGTGGGGATGGGGAGGAGACGGGCAGGTGGGCGAGGGAGTCGGGCGCGGCCGTGCTCGGGGCCAAGGCACCCCGTCTGCACCGGAGCTCTGGTACCAGTTTCTGGGGCTCGGCCTGCGGTGCACGATCCTGACGGAGAACAGCACCATGACCACCGAGTTCAGCTTCGTAGACTCGGAGGAGAGCTGCTGCTGCACTTCGCGCCCTTGCCTCTTGCCTTTGTCGTGCCGCTCCTGGAGTAGTTACCAGAATTTGTTATTTCGCGGTTGGGCTCTGCTCGGAGTGCCGCCAAAGGCGGCCGGGAGGCCAGCCTTGGGAGGAGGCTGAATCCGAGCCAGTTCGTATGCGTCCTTTACGCCCCGCATCATAGCGAGCCTTTCGCTTGTCAACCTCTGGTGGAAAACACATGTTGCCTGCCCCCCAAGCAAATCCGTTGGTAGTTTGTCGCGGTGGTGTTTGTCTGGCGTTTCGTGGGCCCCTCGTAGTAGTCGCGCGAGGGGTTCGGCAGGAGTTGGACACCGGTGGTTCTAGCATTCCATATATATATATATCTATAGAGAAAGAGAGAGAGAGAGAGAGAGAGAGAGAGAGAGAGACTCAGCCAGCCCAGCCTGAGAACCCATACGAGCAACGTAAGAAAACGCGGTCGTCTTCACCGACATTGGCGCGCACTTTTTCCCGCGTAACTTCGCGCGTATGCGTCCTCGTGACCCATGGCGTGCCGCGCTTGCGGCCCGCGTACGCCACCGCGTAAGGTCGCTATGCCACTTCGCGCAAGACCCGCTCCCTTTCGTCGTTCATTTGTCTCTTGGGATGCGTTGGCCACGCGTGGATGGGCGCATGGCCCGTAGGAGGGCGGCGCGTCTCAGACCGCTTCGCGCCCAGCATCTGTCAGCTCTTCTGGCTGGGGGGACGCCACGAGTTGTTCGGTCCCTCGCCGACGGGACACTACAAGCCACGCTCTGGCGAGTCCAGGAGCAGGAGCCCGCGTCCTCTGGGGAAGTGCTCGGGGATGTGGCACGCCCCACCACGCTGTGGCAATAGCATGGGCCTCCTGCAAGTCCCCCATGTCCCTTTCTTTTCGCCTCCTCACCTCCCTGGAGATCTCCAGAGGCCCCAGGAGTCCTCTGGAGGCTTCTGATGGCTCCAAAGAGTTGTCTGCGACCCTTGTGCATGCAGCGAGTTCGGCTCAAGGCTCTAAAGGACGCTCTGTCGCCAAGCAGCGTGGTATTTCTCGTGCTGGGGGGCAGCCTTCGATGCGGTCGCTATCGCAGCTGGGCCTGGCCTTGGCAAATTGCAGCCTCGCCACCCGATAAACAATCGATGTGGCCATTGGCCTTTATTGCGGCATTCCCAGACGTCTGCTTCGGATCGCGATCGGGCTCTGGATCTCGACGGCGGCCGCGGTGCTACTGGTCGCTCTCAGGGGCGAGCAGTCGGGGCTTCCAGGCCCAGAGTCTGGATCGGCAACAGGAGGGGTAAGAGGAGGGGTAAGAGGAGGGGTAAGAGGAGGAGGAGGAGGAGGAGGAGGAGGAAGATGGGGAGGCTTTGGATCTCGACGTCGGCCGCGGTGTTCCTGGTCGCTCTCAGGGGCGAGCAGCCGGAGCTCCCTGGGCCAAGAGCCTGGAGCGGCAACAGGGAAGGTGCGGCCCCATATCGGCCCCATTTGCCCTCCCCTGGATTCTGTGGCCGTGGCGCTCCTGGTCTGCCGCCTGATGGTGAGCCAAGTCCTCCTCCTCCTCCTCCTCCGCCTCCTCCTCCTCTTCCTCCGTCTTCCTCCTCCTCCTCCTCTTCCTCCGTCCTCCTCCTCCTCCTCCTCCTCCTCCTCCTCCTCCTGTTCCTCCTCCTCCTCCTCCTCCTCCTCCTCCTGGTCTGCCGCCTGATGGTGAGCCAAGTGAGGCACTCCCTTTGTCGAAGGGTTCGCCTTGACATGCCTCCCGCTGCTGGTCGCCTGTCTGGCCACACGCGGCCTCTACGGTGCGCTCACGGCGGAGAGGGCAGAGGAGGGCCTCGGGGCGAAGGAGGCCATGGAGGCGGAGGCCGCTGGACCTTGTGCGTCCACGCAGCCGCTCGCCGCTGGAGGAGGCGTGAGCCCGGTGAGCGGCTGGCCGTCTTCCTTCGGGAGCCTTGAGAGACGGGGGCCAATGCAAACGGGGGTCCGCCAGGGCACCGGATCCTGCAGGATCCTGCGAAGACCCTCTGCGGCTGACCCGGGTTAGCGAGCCGCTCGTGGCCGCGAGGCGGCCGCGCATATTGGCTGACCCGGGTTTGCGAAGACCTGCGTTGCAGTTGATCTGTCCTGCACTGCAGTTTTGTGGTTTCCTGCTGACCTGGGTCTGGATTGACCCGGGTCAGAAGATCCCCGATTTCTCCTTCCTCTCGTTGCCCTTGTCCTGCCCTCCTCTGGCAGCTGGCCTGAGGGGGAGCCTTCCCTGAGCTCGTCACGGCGAGGCCCTGCTAGGCGATGCCCCGCGAAGGCACTGTCTCCTCTTCGAGAAGCCCTGTTGCTCCTCGTCTTGGCGGTGCCAGGCAAGGCGACGTCCAGAGGCGGGCACCGTTGCCTCTTCCTCTTCCTCTCTTCCTCGTCCGTCTTCGTGGCGTGGTGCAGTTCCTCTTCATCCTCCGTCCTTCCTCCTCAATCCCTTGTGCCAGCGCGCACCACACCGCCAGCGCGCACAACGTCTTCTGTCACGGCACCATGGGCAAGTGGGGGCTGGGAGGGAGCATGAGGGTGGTGGAGGAGGTATTCAACAGGACTGCGCACTTTACTGATATGACTGGTATAATTCAGGTGGCCACGCTGGCGCATCGAGTGACCTTTTTGGAGCGCGGGTGTGCGCGGCCTGGCTTGTCCTTAGCTCTTACCTCCCTCCGTCATTGTGCCCGACGTCTCGGTTCTCGGTGAGCGGGCATTGCTTCATCTTCCTCTCCAGGAAGCCTCGTATGAGGGCCCGATGCAGGCATCGCCTCCACCTCCTTCCTCCGCGCTACCCCCAAACACGGCCTGGCTGTCTGCTATTCCTCGTCCCCCTCCCCACGTGCTCCCGGCATGTTATTTTCGTATTCCCCCGCCCCTTTCCGGTGAAGGCACGGCGGTCACGGCGGTGCAGACACGCCGCCGGGGCCGGCGTGCCCACCGCAGCCACACACTTGGCCAGACCGCTCTGGAGCTCGTCCGCGGGCACCCGGCCGCGGCCGCCGTGGCGCCAGCCCGCGCGGGATCGCGCGCCCATCTGCGCCGCCGGAGGCGGCGGTCTAGTTCTATCGAGGCCGCTTTCGGAGCCCTTCTCGTCCTCTTCCTCCCCTCGTCCTCTTCCTCCTCCTCGTCCTCCTCCTCCTCCCCCCTTCCTCCCCATTCTCTTCCTCCTCCCTTCCTCCTCCGCCCCTCGTCCTCCTCCTTCCTTCTCCTCCTCCCTTCCTCCTCGTCCTTCCTCCCCTCGTCCTCTTCCTCTTCCTCCTCCTCGTCCTCCTCCTCCCTTCCTCCTCGTCCTCTTCCTCCTCCCTGCTTCCTCCGCCCCTCCCGCGCCACTGTGGCCCGAGAGGGGGGGGGGGTGGGAACACTTGCTGCACTTGTTGAGGCCGCCCAGTGCCGCAAGATTGGTCTGGCCACTTACGGCCCTGGTCATGATAACTTGGCCAGCATCAGGAGGAGAAAAAACACACAGACACATTAAATCGTCGGTTCCTAGGAAAATATAGGAAAATGTGGGAAGTGGGGGGGAGACGAAAACCCAGAAAATGTGGGTAAATATTGGGAATCGTGGGATCAGTGTGTTTTATATTTGTGTACCCTGGAGACCCTTCACAGCAAGCCGCCCAGACCGTTGCGGCGCGGCCGTGAAGGTGGCTCGCCCGAGTTGGGGCTGGCTCGGTGAAAGCGTGCCAATGGCCTGCAGGGCAAGCCGCGCCCACCGGCCGCCTGGAGCTTCTCTCCCCCTTCGTCTTTTTCCTCCCCCTCTCGCCGAGGCGGAGCGCCCGCTAGTCCTGCTGGGAGTGGCCTGCTCGCCGCCTCCTCCTCCTGTCTCGTCCTCGCTCCCCCCCGAATGGTTTAGCTCCAGAGCTCGACAATTGGTGAACTTCGCCACGCCGCACCCAAGTCCATAGGGATGCGAGCTCGTCGTTGTTCTCCCGCTTTCTCCGCTCTTCTCCAGTTTCTTGTTTTCCCTCCGATTCACGTGGGTGGCCTGTCCAGTGGTTGGGCGGCCGGTGTTATTTCTCCGTCTCGGCTCAGTCCTTCCTTTTCTTCCTGCCGCTGCCGCCGCCTTTCCTCCTTCCGTTATTGTGATCGTTCGATTGACTCGCTACGTTTGGAGCTGCGCTCGGTAGGATTTCCGATCGTTGGGGCTTGCTGCTTCCTTTGGGCCAAAGTGGGGTGAGACTAGTGCGCAGCCTAATACCTGCCCTCTTGTTTTCCCCTCGTCCTCTTCTCCTTGCTCCTCCTTCCTCTTTCTCCCCCTCTCCTCTGCCTTGACAAGCGCCTGCGCCAACGCAGACGGCTGGGTTTCTGAACTGTTTCCACCGCGGCCAGGTGCAGCAGTGTGGCGGTGCTAGTCTTTGTCCGGCAGAGTTTCGCACAGTGTCGAGTGTGGCCGACACGCGGGAGCGAGAGTCTATTCGGGCAGGGCTTCGGGGTCCACTGCACGGGCACGGTGAGGAAGCCACCGGATCGTTATCAGCTGCTTTGCTCGGAGAAAAAGAACTATGTTGCGTGTTGCCGCCTTGAAGGGCATCTGGTCGCGCCCGGGTGGGCAAAACGTTCGATCACCGCTATACGGGTTGCGTGGCGCGCGCCGCTGTTGATCTCCGCGCCCAAGATCTCTCGCCGTTCTGGATGCCCGGTCAGTGTATTCAGCGTGATGCCGACAGTCTCGCCCCGTCCATTTCTCCGCTTAAGCTGTATTAGTTGTTTTTGTCTGTCTTGTTTGCGCGCGTGCGCTCTTGCTGTAATCTCGAGGGACTTGCCGGGCGTGTTCGGTGGTATCTCGTACCTTCGTATGCGTGAGCTTCATTTGAGCACACTGTGACATCACAGTGTTCTGAGTTGTATGTGTCTGCATGATGCAGCTTGACGGCTGCAGTGCCATCAGCTTCAAACTTTGCACAACATTCCCAGTCACGCCTCGGAGTTCAGAGGCGGGAAGCAGCAGCGGCTGCGTTGGCGACGGGCACCGACGCATAGGCCGCATCTCAGGGCATTGCGCGGGGAACCCAAACTGTCAAAACGTTCTTGACCTTTCCCCCATCACCCCCCTCCGCCACCCGCCCTTTTTGTTTCCCTCCTCCTCCATCCCCCCCCCTCCCTGCTGTTGTTCCGTTCTGCCGCGCGCGCTGCTCCTCTCATGAGCTGAGTCTTCGCAAGTTTTTGTTTGGAGTTCATTTCAAAACGAAACATGCAACCTTTTGTGTCCTCGATCATCCCCTCCTCTCCCCTCCCTTTCGCCCCCCCCTCCCCCCCCCGCCCTCATCCTCCTCCCTCCTCCTCATCCTTCTTTTCCTACTCGTCGTCCTCCTACTCGTCGTCCTTCTCCTCCTTCTCGCCATGGTTGCGGTCCTACGTGCCACGGGAGCGCCAGAATTCTTCATCAAAGTTGTCGAGTGTCTGTGCACCCATGTTTGGATTGCAACATCGTGCCGAGGGATGCGTGCGGATATAGGGTACTCGCTCGTCCCGTGGCATCAAACAGGGCTGTCCCGGTAGTGGATCTCTGCTTGCGCTGGGCCATCGGCCCAGTGCTCCGCAAGACCTGCCTGCTGCTCCCGCGGCCTGTCCACGGCCTGGGCGCCTCTGCAGACGACGTCGGGATTGGGTCGGGAGATGTGGTTTCAGCCTTCGTGCTCAGCGTGGTTGCTTGGGATATCGCTGGCCCCGCGATGGGCCTCGTCTGCGGGGCGAACACAATGACATAAATGTAAACACTCGGAGGTCCGCACGGATTTCTCGGATGGGCGCTGGAGCCCCCTGGCGGCGCCTCCAGCGCCGCCCCTGGCGCGCTCCGCGCGCCAGGGAGGGGGGTCCAGCGCGGATCCAAGACATCCGCGCTGATTTGTTTTATGGTTCTGTCGTTTTTCGTTCCCCTACCCTCATCATTTTTTTTACAAAAAACGTCATCGTCTTGTTTCTCTGGTCCTTGGGCCAGTTTCTCGATGCTCTACGAGAGCACGGGCTCCAGGCTTCAGGGCTTCAGCTTCTCCCGCATGGGCGGTATCTTGGGATTCGGTTGGGTCTGGGCAGTGTTGATGCCTCTTGGGAACCAGCCTTGAAGAAGTACGCCTCTTGGGTTAACCAAACCTATCTCTCAGTGCAGCATGCTTGCCTTCTTCGTCGATTTTTTTTTGGTGCCAGATGCTCCCGCCCACAGCTCGAGGACTTCGGCTTTAGAGGTCGGGCCTGCAAAGGATCACTGCTGGGCCCAACAATGCAGTCACTGATATGGTGATGGAAAAAACCTCACCCTGTTTGGCTTCCCGATTGACACGACGTATCTTGAGTATGTGGGGAGGGCTGCCATGTACCGCGCTGCCTCCTACTCGCCAGCCTTCTTCGAGATTCGGTCCGATCTCGAAGAGTTCTCACTTAGCGATGAGTGCGTGATCCTCTGGAAGACCCACCCCCGGAGGAAGAGCAGCATTCTCCGTGCTGTGACCGAGAACAATGAGTTTATGACGAGTATTTCAAATATGCTCATGCATGAGGTCCCCCTTCAGAAAAAAGACTGAGCATTTCATCCGACATTATCTTCCCCGTTCTGCGAGGCCTGCCATCAGAATTCGCCTCGCCAACTCATGACCCCCAACTGAATGTTCTTGATCTAGATAATGTGTTTATGGCATTTGGGAGAGCCTCTAGGAATGTCCCCTCCTGTCATCGCGTCTCTCCTGACGACGTTGTGCAATGCGTGGTGCACGATAGGCCGTTTTCGTAGCACCGCACAGGTGTGTCCAGCTTGCGGCCTCGAGGCTGGCGACACCGTCAAGCATATTCTTGAGTGCCCCCGATTTGACATGTTAGGTATCGTCCTGCCTCACGTCCCCTTTAAGTTTGCCTTGCTTTGGGTGTGTCTCGAATTCAGATGTATCGCATTCCCCCGCTATCCGACAGAGCCTTGATGTCTATTGTACTGTATCCCGACGCGTGCCATCACACCTAGATTGCCGTCCGCACCAGGCCAGGTTGTTCCATCCTTTCTGTCGCTCAGGCCAGACTCAATCAGGTAATCAGGCGACAAACGACCTCTGCCACCTCATTTGCGTCGGCCCACGGGCGCCGCTGCTGCTGCCCGTCGTCGGAGAAAGCAGGACTCGAGGATCTGGAGTTGGCTCGGGTCCGGGAACTCTAGAGCCCTCCTCTGGGCAATTGATTTTTGCCTCCTCCTCCTCCTCCTCCGTAGCCATTTTGACTCTAGCCGCGTCGCGCGCCCCACCATCTTGGCTCATCCAGGCTTGGGATGGCTCGCTACGTTACTGAGTTGCGGCATCGCCTCGAGTGATGGTTCATAAACATTCGGCTGAACGGCTCCGTGACCGACGCCTTCGCGCTCGTCTTTAGGGCTATTTGCTACTTCGTGGTCGCTGCACTATCGAAGTTGACTCTCGCATTCGACAGCCAGCCCAAGATGTGTTGCGTTCTATGGAAATGCATGTTCGGCATGACGAGTTGAATCCTGTTCCGCACCACCATGCTCGCCTGGCTTCATTGGCAGCTCGGGAGCAGCTGTCTGCAGCTGAGTTTGCCATGTCGCAGCGCGTCCACAAGTCTGCTGGCAGGGCCAAACACAATGTGAGTAGGATCGCGATGCACGCCGCCGCCCAGAGTGGTGCCCCCCGTGCTCGTGATGACCAGTTGTCTTTTGTTGCTTCGTCAGTCCCGTCTGCAGACGCACCTGCTCAGCCTTGTGGAAGGCTTCTCGCTCGGAGGTGGCGGCATGGTCAGACACGGCTTCGGCGAGATGCTGCTGTATTTCACCCCTCGGAGGTGGGTTGCATTCCCACGCTTTGGGCGCATGAACTTTCTGAGGACCTCTGTGACCACGGTGTGTGCTGGGCCGACGGGCTAGAGGGCGACACGTCATGGTCTTTCTGCAGCTCTCCCGCGTTTACTTTACCTCCGTATGTTCCCAGTGTGTGTGACGATGACTTGTTTCTTTTCAACTGTTATGATGCGGGTGCTCTTGGTTCAGCCGCTCAGCATATTGAATATTGCCGCCGCATCTCTCACGAGACACACCTGTGGCTCGCCGCCATTGAGCAGAAGTCCGAGAAGCAGTTTCAGTGGATGCGGGAGCTAGAAGATATGATATCTACTATTGTTCCGATTGGCTCTCTGGTCCAACTCCGCGAGCGCTCGGACAAGGCTTTGCACGACCTCGAGGAGCAGTCCGTGGAGGCCGTCCAGCTCTTGGATTATAAAATCCAGGCGCTCCGTGAGGAGGTCGTGGGCTCTCAGCGTTTGGTTGTTGACAAGGTTGATTGCCGTTTCAGCCGTATCCCAGATCTGGCGCGGTTCGAGGCCAAAGCTGTGTCTGTTGCTGATGCGCTTCGCACCGATCATGCCCGGGTGGAGGCAGCCATTCGCCTGCGCAGAGACCACATCGAGTCCTTCGTCCAATCGGGTGTTGCGGAATGCCGCAGCGTGCTTGCTGCGGAGACCTCCAAGCTCAAGGCGATGGTGGTTGACCCCTCGGCGGCCACGGTCGAACGGTGGGTTCGGCGGCCCCTCGATCGTCTATGGGATGACTGTCAGCTTCTCGTGGACTCGCATTGCTCCAAGGTGAAGGACTTCTTGTCGTCCACGCGCGAGTTGATTCTGATGGAGTCCCACGCCGTGTTTCATGGCTTCTCCGCAGATGTGCCGGCGCTGCGGGACTCCGCCGCGCTGGTGCAGGATTTCAGGGGTTCCCTTTCTTTGACTTCGGACCTGAAGGTTCAGGTCGTTGCCCACGAGCAGGCCCTTCATGAACTGGCCGCCCTGGCGGGCTCTGTTGTTTCTCAGAATACTGATATGATTTCGAACGCGGTCGACTCGACCTTCAAGCAGCTCGTGGAGTCTGACATCATGTGTACTGCCGTGCGTGCCGAGCTGGCTCGGTCGGCGGTTCGTGATGTTTCTGGCCGTGATCGTGTCCGCGTCGGCGGTCTCGTGCCTGCTGCCGCTGCTTCTTCGTCCTCTTCGGGCTCGCTCCTTGATGACGACGAATGGTGCGGCGTCTGTGGTGGCCGCAGATCTCACGCGTTCTCCAGGCTGCCTTGCGCCTGCTTGCTCGAGGAGGAGGGGAACTGGTCGACTTGACGGTGGTCACATCGTGTGCTGCCCCGTCTACTCCCTCGCTCTGCTGCCTCCTCGCCTTTTGTGGTGCAGGAGCACGGCGTCGGGTTGCATTGCGATTGGAGCCAGTTTGTGATCACCCCCATGGGCTCCTCGGCGTTGCTCTTCCTTGTGCTGTGGTGGGACTTCCCTGTCATGCGCTCCCTGGGCCGCGTCCCTGGGGTATTTCTGCTATTCGCGTTGACTGTCGCCTTCCGCGGTTTCGGTTCGGCTCGCGCCGTGGGCGGCGGATCTGTGTAGATTAACCAATCAAGACATGATTTTTCTTTTACGCTGGGCTCCTTCTCCTCCTCCTCCTCCTCCTCCTCCTCCTCTTCCTCCTCCTCCTCTATGCTCGTCGTCTGCTGCCGTTCGCGAGCTTCGTGATCTTGCTGAAGTGCTTGCTCATTGGGCCTCGGACTGGCTCCCCGACCTTTACATCGCCAACTGGGACCACACGCTGCGCCGCGGCAGCGACTGGATGGACTGATGCGAACAACGTGCTCGCCGACATCTTCGCCGATGGAGCATGCGCACTCTGTTCGCCGCCTCCTCGGAAGACGACCTCCGCCGCCGCGCTCGCCACATATGCCGACAGGCCTGGCACGATTCGGATGCCGATCGCCGTGGCAGGGCGAACTACATGGCGAGGGCCCCCCGCACGTCTGATATGCAGGCGGTGCTCAACCTTGCTGCTGAAGAACACCGTCTCCGCCGCCAATGGATACACATGGCCGACGTCGTCTCCGACCCGTCCGACACCACCTCCATCGAGGAGATCGACAAACAGCTGCATCCAGACGCCATCTCGTTCAATGGCCTGACCGCCATGTACCAGCCCCCGAACAACGTCAAGATCCACTGGCGGCGCACGCGAGCAGAGATCGCCCGCATGCCCCCATCGCGTTTCTGGCCCACGATGAAGACTTTGGCAAGCGCACGGTCGACGTCGTACCGTCTCCACGTTCAACCTGAACGGCGCCCTTGCATCTACGGGTGCAACGCGAAGCACGCAACGGACAGCATCTCGCACTACCTCATTTGCCCGAGGCAGTGGCACGCGCTGGCGTACCCCAGGGGCCGCCTCTCGAACTGCCTCTTTGCCCGCCTCGGGCTGCACGACAGCTGCCACTCCGTCGCCCCCAGCGACGAGAAGCACGTCTCCCACGCGATGGTCCGCTTGGCAGTCGCATACCGCATGTACCACACGTACAAGGACTCCAGGCCTCCTACGACGATGTGAACGCGTTCGAGGCTGCGAGTTACTCGCATCTGAATGAAGCACGTGCCGCCGCGCGTCTGGCCCTTCGGCTCGGCGCCTCGCAGCACGGAAGCCGAGGCGCGGGCCCGCCGCCCGCTGCTGCTCAGCCTTCCCCGCCCACCGAAAACTACGACCTGCGCGCGCCACCCGTGCCGCCCGAGCCAGCGGGTGACCTCCACGGACAGCGTGGAGGTCGCTAGACGAACTTCGTCGCGCCTCAAGCTCTGCGTTTGCTCTATGCTCGTCGTCTTCTTTTTCTGTTTCTTCTTTTTCTTCTTTATCTTCTTCTCGTCCACCCTCCTCCTCCTTCGCCCTCCTCCTCTTTCGTCCTTTTCTTTCGTCCTCCTCTTGCGTCCTCATCTCCTCATCTTCCTCCCGGCTCCCAAATGCATCCTCCCTCGCTTTCCCCATCCATTCCTGCGCGCCCCTCCCTTCCCCCCTCGCCCAGGTGAGCGTGAGAGTGGCTGCAGAGCTGCTGTGGAGCAGTGGCGGGGAGCTCGCCCTGCCGATAGGGCACATCCGGGTCATGGGGCCTCAGCTTCCCCCTTGTCCCCCCTTTTTTTCGGGGAAGCTCAGGGCCCGGAGTCCTCCGAGGGGAGGGCGGGGAGCGGAGGGGGAAGGGCGAAGGCGAGCGGGGGAGACGGAGGGAGGAGACAGGGAGGAGGGATTTGGTTGTTTTTCCCGCCCTTTTCCCTCCGTCGCCCCTCCTCCCCCGTGTCCCATACCTCCCAGGTTTTTCCTGTTATATGGCCCCTGGTGTTCCTTTTCTCTTTCTTTTTTTCACCGGCTCCAAGCGGAAGACGGTTTCCGTCACTTGTTCGTGCGCGCCCATTTGGCTGGATATCGTTTCGCAGCATGGCGAGGCCGCTTGACAGGCAAAGCGCGCCGTGAGTGTGAGTGTGTGTGTGTGTGGGTGTGATTGTGTGCGCATGTGGTTGAGGGTGTGTCTGCGTCTGTGTATGCTTGTTTGTGTGTAATAATTGTGCGTGCCAGCAGCAGACCAGTTGCTCTTACATCGCCAGCGACCATCGCGTGTTTAGTCCTCCTTCCCCCCCCTTACCGCACTCGCTGGTCGTTCTCCTCTGCATTTTTGAGCGGTCCTTCCGGAGCAGGAGGAACATGAAGAGGGGAAGGAGGAGGGGGCGAGGAACAGTTTAAAAAGGCGAGGGAACGATGAAGATGAGCAGGAGGGAGGGAGGGAGGAGCATGATGAGGTTGAGGCGAGCTAGGAGGAGGAGGAGGAGGTGGAAGAGGAGGAGGAGGAGCACGAACTGGAACGGGGAGGAATGAGGAATGGTTCGGCTTTCCTGTGAGGTCACGAGCCCGAAAGGAAGAGCGGGGAGGACCGGAGGACCCCGCGCACGCAGCCGCGCCGCGCACGCACGGCGCGGGCACGAAACCGAAGCCGATGTTCAGGCGGGGGCCTCCGTTTCATCCTCCCTCCTCCCTCCTCCTCCTCCTCCTCTCCTCCCTCCTCCTCCTCCTCCCCTCTGCCTCCTCCTCCTCCCCCTCAACCTCCGATCACCGTGTGAATGAATGTATGCGCAGGCGTACGGACACACAGTTGTGCACAGATGGAGGGATGGCGAGGCACACGCGCACGGACAGGGGCAGAGACACGAAGACACAAAGACACAAACAGACAGAGTTAGACAGAGTTAGACAGACAGACAGACAGACAGACAGACAGACAGACAGACAGACAGACAGACAGACAGACAGACAGACAGAAAAAACAGAGACAAAGACACAGACAGAGAGAGAGAGAGAACAAAACAAATCGAGGGAGAAACTGCAAGCGAGAGAGAGAGAGAGAGACAAAGAGACAGCGAGAGAGAGAGAGAGAGCGATAAGTAATACAGAAACCAAAAGGAAGCGCCAGGCATGGGTGATCAGTTGAATCCTGGCGGGGGGTCCAGGGAGGGGAAATGGATGGCGGAGCAGGAGCAGGAGCCGGAGCAGGAGGAGAAGCGTGAGGAGGAGCAGTGGCCAGGGGATGGGCGGGATCGGGATTGGGAGGATCAGCAGGAACAGCGCCAGGATAAGAAGGAAGATCCATTCGGTTTGATCCCTGCCCCCGTGCCTCATCGCCGCTCCGGTCGTGGCTGGCCGGCTGACGCCGATCATGGAGCAGTGGCCAGTGTCCGTGATTTGTTGGCCTCTGCGGGACAGGTCGGTCGGCGGTCGTGCGCCCGGTCCCCGCTGTAGTCGGTGGGCCATGCGGAGAGCCATGGGGGGGGGGCATGCATCGAGCCAGACGGATCCTGCAGACACAACAGCTTTACTTGTTGTGTGAAGCATTGGGGGGGATGTTTGGCTGTTCATGGGGCTGTCCTGGCTCTTCGGGTGGACAGCCAGCTGGAGGGTTTCTCTGGAAGGCTTAGGCAACTTGTCCTCCTCCTCCTCATCCTCCTCCTTCAACTCCTCCTTCTCTTCCTCCTGTCTGGGAGGCCGAGAGTGACGGTTGAGCCTCGCTCGCCGTTCATTTCTTGGATCTATGACACTCGTGACACTCCTCGTCTTCCCTTTGTTTTCTTCCTCGTCCTCCTCTTCCTCCATCTCCTCCTCCTCCTCCTCCTCCGCCTCCTCCTCCTCCTCGGGTCGCCTACGGCCCCGGGGGAAACCGTGCAAAACCAGCTGGCCAGCCACGTGCCAAGGTCACAGACTGCACGGTGCGCTTGCATGTTGCGGACCTCGAGTTCTCAGGCTCCTGCGCCTCTGGCTCTGCTGCTTGGGCACCTGCGGCCCGGCCCGCCTCGCAGGGAGACGAGAAGGAGGAGGAGGAGGAGGAGGAGGAGGAGGAGGAGGACGGGAATTTGGGAATTGCGCTCTGATTCGGGAGGAGGAGGAGAAGGAGGAGGACGGGAATTTGGTAATTGCGCTCTGATTCGCCGAGGAGATGGTCAGCTTAGCGCGGCACTCACTAGCTGCTGGCAGAAACACGCGGTATCTAGCAGCACGGGCTCCAAGGTGTGAATGTTCCGCCCGTTCATACCCATACCACCCCCCACCCTTATCGCCATAAAGCGCACATGGCGCAACACAACGCTGCAGGAGAAGGGAGGAGGCAAGAGTAAGAGGAGGCATAACAAGTAGGGGAGCAGGTGGGATGGCCTGCGAAGGGCCTAAAGCCAGTAGCGTGGGCTTGTACAGGGCATGGGCCATCGGGAGTGCACGATATTCGCACGCTCGACCTGTGGCCTCTGTCTGCACCAGGCACCAACGCTTCAATCACGACCGGCGCGCACTGATCACAAGGAAGAGCGGTGTTGCCAAAAAAGAATAGATGGCGTAATTCAATCAGAGAGATAGAGAGAAAGAGAGAGAGCAACACCAACATGATGAGAGAGCAGTGGCATCGGTCCTACGTCGCCATGCCGTCGACGTGGAAGGAAGGACATCGACATCACAAAGTAAGGCAAGCACTGAAAGGGGGAAAACGCAGAGAAAGCGGCTGAGAGCGGCTGCGTGGAAGAGACAACATTTGACTGTTCTGAACCTCTACATGACCACCCCCCGCAATCCCCAATCCACAATCCCCAACATCTTTTGATAATTGACAAGCAGCAACTTATCCGAACAAACCTCTGCCAAAGTTAGGATCACGGGTCCACGGGGAGACCTCACGCAAGCGAACCTGTCTCGCATCCTGGAGTTTAGCGGTTCTTGTGACACGTGCCTGCGCGCGGTTTTGCGCGATGCGCTCCAAAACTTCGGGCTCTAGCGGGACTGGGACAGGCGAGGGGGGAGGGTCTGATACCCCCTGCGAGTCACCAAGGAAGACTCGTGCATCTACATACTCCTGCTCCTTATCAGTCTCTGATGGGCCTGGGGGTCTAGCCTCCGCCATGTCGTCGTGAACTTGTGAGGGGGGAGAGGTAACCTGCTCCGATTTCGGGGGGACGCGTAGAGGTCGAAAGCGATCTAACTCGGGGTGGTGTCGGACACGACGCGTGCGCCGAGAGACAAAGTCGGGAGCCCATCCCTCGTCTGTGCCAGAGTAGGGATCCCAGGAGACAAGGAAACGTAGTAGTCCATCACGTGCTCTACAATCCTCCCCCATGTCATCCGGAACAACGGCTTCAGCACTATCAACTTCCCCTTCCCACCTGGCACGCACTGCGTGAGTGGTGGCAGCAGCAATCCACTTGCACAGGCCGGCGGGATACGTCTTCTTTTTGGCTGTGCGCCACTCCCGCCTATCCCTATCATAGCCAAGAAGCGTTTCGTGTCCGTCCCGACCGTGAGAACATCTGCCGTTTCCAGGGGTCGCAGGCAGGGCGGCGCGCAGCCCTGGCAGTCTGAGTGCAACGATCCGAGTGGGAGCCCGTGACGTCTGACCATGTACACGTTGATCAAAATCGGACGTCGTGACTGCTGGAGACGACTGGAGAGCCCGCATCGGGTGACAAGTAAAAGAGCTGACAGCTTGGAGCCTCCATCCGCACGGCCGGGGCCTCTCAAGCCAACATGATGCCCCAGCCTGCGTATGGGCCGCGAAAAGCTCAAGCATAGCATGGTACAGCGCACTGCCCGCCCACAGCTGTTCCATTCGACGCTCAGCAACTGCCGTCTTGCCCCAAAACTGATCATGCGTCCGAAGTGGCGGGGGGCCTTGGCCTTCTGCCCAAAGAGAGGCAGACCCGGTTTCGCACGGCGGCCCGCCACCCGACACCACCCCCCGTCGCGCAAGGATGTGAGACCTCCATTCGACGAGTGTGTCACGATTCATGAGATCACCGTCCGCTGCATGTATGGCTACATCCACAGACAGGACATATATAGCATAGTCGATGCTGCAATGCGCCCAGTCAGCCTTTGCCTGTTCGTCTCCCGCCCTCCTCCTTTCACGAAACAAATTTAAGACAAAGTACTAACTCGTCTGGCGGCTCTCGGTATGGGCTCGGCTGCAATGCCAGTGTACCGTTCTGTCAAGAATAGTCGACTGGGGTATCTCTCAGTTGTGCACTGAACATGGTCAGCCGGTGGCGGTGGCACAACAGCGGCAGCCACAGGTGTGGGAGATTGCATGCAAGCAGCAAGACCAGATGGGAGAGCAGGGTCGGCGGCCGCAATCTCCACGCGTGCACTGCCAT